AAACATGAAATACATAAAAGAATGGTCTTTCAGAAAATTTTTAGAAATAATAGCATTTTTTCATGTTCTATAATAACTAAATCTGACATCATACAAGCAAATGAACTAATTTTGTTTAACTCTTAAGGCTATATAAGGAAAAAAAGTGAGTTATATCAAAACATGCTCTGTATCAAATCTATTCCAAAATACGAAATGTTCAATTTACAGCTAATTTAATACAGCTAACAATAATTTACAATAAGTGACGTGTTTTAACCCAAAACTCTATTTATTCAATTTTTTCCTGCAAATGGTTTTACAATTCTAATAAAATAAATATCCAAACTTGAGACCAAATTATTTTTTTTATGATCAATTAACAATTTTTATGTTTTTCTTTATTAATTAATCTGTTAACTTAATAGCGTACAATAGTTTGTTACAATAGTTTGTAAAGTAACTGTTATTAATTTTTTTTGTTGGTCATAGCAATAAAATTGGATTAAATTTAGAATTTACAACGTTATTTAAAAAAATTTTAAAGTTATAATTAGTTAAATAACTGATAGTAATTTGTAAATGCACTTAAGGTTCCAAAAAAAATAATTTATTTTATAAATATACGTTACATATACAAAGGTCTTCATTTATCACAAAATACTTGTTGTATGCAATTCGAATTCGGAATTATATAAGGTTTTATATGTATAAAAATGAGTCTGTAAATTTATAACATTTGTTTTAAGTACATATTATTATGTACGTGTTATATAATGAGTCATACTTTAATTAAATAACAATATTATGTATATATATATACGTATATATGAAATTAATAAGCTAAGAAGAAATGGGAGATTAATAAGTTTGACGCAGGTGTAATAAATTTTAGTATATGCATTAATTTGCATGTGCTTAATGTTAAAAAAAAACTAAAAAGAAAAAAGTAAAATTTGAAGTAAATTTTATTGTTATAAATTACAATATTTTAAGCGTTACTAGCGTTTAACCTTTTTTTCGTTGAAAAGGTTATTTTTACTTTTGACCAAAATTTTAAACATAAATCAATTAATTTATTTTATATACACTTCAATATTATTTATATATCTACACTTATTGGAATCTATTCCTGTTAATATTGCAAGTAGAAGGAACATTTCTTGTATGTTCCAAATAAGTTCACAATTGTTTTTAAAAATAAATATATTTTGTATACTCGATTGCATAAAGCATGCTTAATTCCCTATTTGTGAACACTTTACATTATACAATTTAGAGTTATCTATTTAGGAAATTAGAAATTTCCTATATATACTTAGTTCTTAATATCGTAAAATTTAGTATTCATAGTATATGTTTGAAGGTTTTCGTCAAGGAATCTACGAACGGAATTCTAGCCTGAATGGGGCCTGAAATGAGACATTTATGGATGTTATATAAAAAAGACCCTAGATAAATTTTCTACAAAGGGCAAAATCAATTAACTGATTAATGTTATAATAACCGATTTTTTTTATATTTCCAAATTCATAGGATGCAATATTTTATAACTTTTTATCATTAAGGTATACCGATTAATTAAAAAATAAACTTTCCTATAAACATTTGATTTAAATAAATTTTCATTTTTTTATTTATAGTCATACATTATAGTCATCTTATTCTACGCATTTATCTATTCAGTTTGCTATATATCGAATTATTTTATCTGATTAATGAGTCACTTAAGCAAATTTTTTGTATATAGAATATATATAGAGTAAAACTACTAGTCTGCGATAACGTCAAATTTACAATTATTGTATATAGAAAATTGGCTCATAAAACTAATTGTTATCGGTTTAGCTAAAAATAGTAATAAAGTTTTTTTTTTACCTTATTTATAATTAACAGTTAGAAAATAAATAAAAAACTTTTCATACTTAAATAAACTAAAATTAAAATCAGTATTTTCCGTTAGTATCCAAAAGCGTTAGTTTTTTTCACAATAACTGTGTTTCCTTTTAAACATAAAAACATTTGATTTCGCTATAATTTACAAAAGGTTAAATAAAGTCATAAAAATTTTGTGAACAAAATGAAAATGATAAAAATATTTTATTTTCCTATATATAATTTTGTTTATCAAAAATTTTAGGGATAAATTTCTGAATTTCACATTAAATATTTTATTCAAGGAGAGCTTTTTACGTAACAAATAATTTATTTTCCATATTTGTACACAGTAATAATTTTGTTATTATTTTAATAGGGTTTTTATTATCTTTAAAAGAGCATTCAATCAATTTTTATACAAATGACGTCAAACTTATTATCAATTCAGTGCAGTAAACTAATTAAAAATAAAAAAAGAAAAATGCCATAATAATGCGCAATGAACTCTTATTCTTCTTCATTACTGCTTGCGAAGTGCTTTACGAACTCGTGCGGTAATATTAAAAAAATATTGTTCATATGGTTTTATAAACTCACTTATATACTGAATGACTCGCCAACTGACATAATGCAGCTAACAAAAAATGGGATTGTGAGAATAATATTAAAAAAAAAAACATAATTAAAAAACATTTAAGTAATAAAGTAACTACTCGTATTACTTTTGAAATCCTTGTCTATGATTATGCGTTTAAGCTGAATATAAAATATTTTAAATTTTGTTAAAAAATGTTTTCTTGTAAAGAAAAGTTGGGTCAAAGCAATGGTTTGTATTGTAGCACTTTTCCCTTCAGCAAGTGAAAATTCTGCTTTTAAATACAGTCTATGTATACCTATCAAACTATTAAAATTATTTTCATTCATATACAAAACTATTTCTAGAATTGCATATATTTAGGATGACGCATATATGCAGTGTTTGAAATAAAGCAAAAATTAATATAAAAAGGGGTTAACATAATGCTCGATTTTAAGGTTTAATTATGTGAGTTAAGAAAAATAATTATATTTTTTAATTTCATGGAATTTACCGTTAGCTTTTTATGTTTATAGAAATTTGAAAAAGCTTGCGGTTTCGGAAATATAAGGTGTCAAAAATTCAAATTTTACAAATTTCAAGAGGCCATAACTTGAGAGGGGAAGGAGATGGAAAAAAATTTTCTTCTAACGAAATGAACTATTTGTTAATGTCTAAAAGTCCATAAAATTTCAAGCTTCTACAGGCTGGGGTCTAGAAAATAAACGATATCAAAAATTTGGAAAAAACGGACTTTAGATAACGGTAAATTTGAGCGGCCATTTTGTTTTTCTAAAGTTAACCTTTAGTATACCCCGCTAGGGGAAGTAAGCCACTGCCTTTCTGCGTTTGCAAAATTTGAAAAATCCTTATGGTTTCATTGCACTAAATAGTTAAAGAATGGCATTTTTAGGGTTTTGGGGGGGTATAACTTCTAAAGGGGGGGAGATAGGTAAAAATTTTGTTCCACGAAAATAAGTTTCTAGTAAAAATCTATGTACGTACAAAATTTCAGCTTTCTATCTTCAAGGGTGTAGAAGTTTTGTAAACAGACACACGGACGGACGGACGGACGGACGGACGGACGGACGGACGGACGGACGGACGGACAGAGTGAAACTAATAAGCACTTTTTTTTCAAAAATTTTTTTGGAAAAGTGCTAAAAACAAATTACATTTTTAAGCTCTCTCACAAATTAGCATGAATTTGGTTTTATAGAAAAAATATAAAAGGTGATCTAATTATCATCATGTTTTATATTTAAACTTTGGTTAAAATTTATAATTATTTGCTTACTTCCCTGACATGGTATGCGTTTGTTCCTATAACATATAAAATAATCATATTAAGGGTTTTCAAGTAATTACATGGGTATGTAAAATAAAATCAAAAAACAACTCTTATATGCGAAAGACCTATTATAAAATTTAAATTGTAAAGTAAATAAATTTGGGTCAAACCAAAGGTTTGTGAAGTTACTTTTCCTTGAACAAATAAAAATACTGCTTTTAAAAGCAATCTAGAATATAGGCAAAATAAAAAAATTGAAAAGGGCATTAACATAGTTCTCGATTTAAGGGTTAATTGCGTGAGTTAAGCAAAATAATTATATTTTTTGATCGCATGGCATTTACCTTCAGCTTTCTTCATTTAGAAAAAACGGGTAATGGTAAGTTTTAATGGTCATTTTGTTTTTTAAAGTTCAAATATGGTATGCTGCGGTAGAAGAAGTCAGTCACTGCTTTTGTATTTGAAAAATTTTAAAAAGGGTTATATTACAGCAATAAATAGTTAAAAAATGCTATTTTTAGGGTTTTGGGCGGTTTTTAATTATCAGAGAGGGGAGACAGGTCCTCAAGGGTGTAGAAATTTTGTAAACATGTCCACGGACGGACGGAGTGAAACTAATAAGCACCTTTTTCAAAATATTTTTAGAAAAGTGCTTAAAATTACACATGACTTATAAGTATATCAACTTCATTTCTAAAAATGTGTCAAACAATTTTGTAAAATAAATGAAATATGTGCGCGAGTTAATATTTAAATAGTCTACTAGGGTTTAGATTTAGTATATATTATATATATATACATGAGACAACAAAAATTACTTGTCATATGTATGTACGCAATAATGCAAAAAATAATAAGTGAACTGATTGTTTTATTCTATAAATTTCATTATCCTCTCCAACAATAATTTGCAAGCTTTTTTAATATCAAATAATAATTTCAGATTAAATTATAATTAATGCTGTATTAAAATAAACATTCTTAAGTACATAATATAACTTATTTAGTTTTACTAAAATTCTGTGTTAAAATTAAATTAAGTAAAAATGATGTTGCCAACTATACAATATAGAGTTCATTAAAAAAGTAACCAACGTCTTCAATATATTTTTACTATATATAAGTAAAACAAAAACAATAACAAACTAATAAATTATAAAAATTAAGTGTCAAATTTTATTAAAGTGATTATTACTTAGTGAATTCAATTAGCTTACTCGTAAAAGAAAAAATTCATATTTTAAAATTTATTCAATTAAGTAGAACGAAAAAGGAAAATTCAATTCAATATATTTCATTTATACAACAAAATAAAAATTAAAGTGATATTCGTTATTTAAGAAATTTTAAATTTAAATATTTTATAATTAAATTAATAAAGAAGGAAAACAATTTGCATAAAATAATAAAAAATATTTTTTAAAATTGTACGAGTGTAAAATATATAGAAATTGATTTCATTATATATTATTATGGTACAATTAGAATGTGCCAATATCATTAATAATAGCTAGCGGGAATGGTGCTTGCGGCCATAATAAATTTTATATTGTTATGTCCGTAAATGCGCCACCCCAAATGAAATCTCGCCAAATGAAGAATGAAGAAACAAAATGTACGCACGATATCTTTAATCGTGTGCACATTTACATATTTATTAGTTGGTGCAGCTGTATTTGATGCACTTGAATCAGAAACTGAAAAGAAACGTTGGGAAGTTCTCCAAGGTAAGATAATCGTTATGTTATTTATACTTTTGCTGTAATGCAAAATAATTTTGTTTTATTAATTTTCTTGTTTTATCAATTTATTCAATATATTATAATGGTACTTAATTATACTTTTAATTGATTTCATTATTTTTAATTGAAATTTTGCGATATGTAGATTGGGTCTGAATTTATTGCACAAATAGTTAGTTTTTAAAATTTACTATAATAGAAAAGATGTAAACTGCAAATGGCCCATATTTCGATCTTTATTGCGAAAGTGTTTCCTCCAAAATCAATTAAAATATCATGTAATGTTACATGAAAACATGAAAAAGTTTCCTTTTCTCAATTGATCTTGAAAACTTGTATACGTTACAGTTTAAAACATAAGGTTAGATGTCAACCATTAGATGAAGAACGTTAAGTCAAGGATAATGTTTACTATTAAAATTCATATAGGTCTGGGTATATTTTATCACTTTTAAATACCATCGACTTTGAAACACTCAGTAAATATATACTCTTGAAGAACAGTTTTTTTACATTTATATTACGACACCAATCTTGATTATTGAAATTCTTGCATTCCCCTATAATTATGCAATTATTCCTTATAATAATTTGAAATAAAAAAAAATTGAACTTTTGAACTTTCTTTCAATAGTCCTTGGTGATCGCTATAAAATAAACACATACATAAATTTATATAAGTATGTATTATATTGAATATTAGATATGTATCTATGTTGCAAAAGTGTACATTAATTTTTTGTGACGCTTAAAAACCCACATGTTAATGAGAATTTTATCAAAATTTTTACTTTAATATTTTTTTGTACTTAAACCCCTACATTATTTTATTGTCCTTAAATAAATATATATACGTAAATTTTATATAAAACACTGTATATTCAAAAATATTGGTGTAGAATTAAAAAATAGACTAATTTTTGTTCCAATACTAAATATAAAATGATTTACGTTATAGACGTGTTAAGTAATTGACTGAATAGGGGAACGATTAGCCATTGTGTTATGTTTACACTTTTAAGTTTCATAAAACGGTTTTAGGTAAATTTTATTTTAAAAGGTTATATTTTAATTTTGGTGGTTGACTTATTAGTCAGAATTTTATTAGTAATTCATTTATTTGGAATTATATGAAAAACGTCATTTATAGGAATTTATATATATATATTTTTATGTCCTTAGGAATTTATTAATTTGCTTTTATGTTTAAATTCATATCATACACACAGATTTTTGAACAAATTTATGTAAAAAAAAAAATTAAAAAGAATTGGTGTGGTCTATAAACGAATTGGACCTACACCTATATATAGGGTGCCCCGTAACAATGCGCACTGGTATATGTCATTGTAGAGACCCTCATGAGTAGGCAAAACTTTTGTATCGAGATGATGTTCACAGCTTAACAGGTTCGGAGTTACAGGGGCTTAAAGTTAATTTCGACTAATTTTTTATCTTTTTTAAATTTTAAGTATTTCCCCGTGACTGTGTAAGACAGGCGCATCAACAAGTATGTTTTAGAAACCTCAAAGCAAGGGCTTTCCTATAAATATCTACATTAGTTGTAATCTGTTCACATTTCGGCATCACATGACTTTAAAGTTCGAAAAATTTGAAATTTTAATTTTCATTTTTAAAAACGTTAATTTTCTAGGTGATGTAACATTGGAGTTTTCTCCAATTTTAGCGCAAGAGGCAACCTTGATAACTGGTGTATGAGTCATCACGCTACCTGATCTAGTTTAGGAGTTAGTGAGAAAAATAGAGCACTGCAAATCTTATTTTATACTAAATTTTTTTCTCCAATGATTGAGAAAAATGTACAATAAAAGCTCAAGATGGTGTCTCTTTTCTGTTACGCAAATGTTCTACTTAATAACCAAGTTTCCCTCACTTTTGCAAATATTAAAATATGGTATTACCTATATGTAGATGGTATATGCATCCTGTATATGGTATTTCAAAATATTTCATGAACTCTGTCTGGACTTTTTTAATTAAGTAATTCAACGATCATTAAATCGTGTCGGATTCTTAATGAGTGTTTTTGTATGGCGAAAGCTTTCGCCTCAAAAGTTTGCGACATTTTGGGGGATCTCTTCTTTGGGTTCCGGACCATCATAATATAGTAGAGAATGAACAGGCGGATGAGCTGGCTAGGTGTGGCTCAACCATGAACCGATTTTTTGTTCCAATTAACACCGTGATGAATAAATTTAATAAATGAATAAATGAATATTTATCGTGCTCGGCCGCAAGTTGAAAACCCTCTCCACATGTGGAACGTAAGAAAATTTTGTCCAAAATACAACCTAAAGAAATCGGATGAACTTCCGGCTATGTTTCATGGTAGTGAAACCAACCACCCGAAGTTATTTATGTGATATTTATATAATTTTTGATCAAAAGCCACATAACTTACATACTTACCTATAAATTCCCACAATATATAGCAATAGCATTGTATATAATTATAAACATGTTCATAACTTTTTGGATGGACGAACATAATTTATAATAAAGCAGGATTGATTAATGATATCAGATTCAGAATATCAAAATAGTACATGATAAAAAATTGTAATAAATTATAGTAGACATAAGTTCAAATATACATTATAAATTATGATAATATGAGACAATGAATTTCATTTACGGTCATTAAAAAAATTTAAGCTTTAGTTTATTATTTTAAGGTATATCAGTATATGTCTAGCAGTTTTAAGGATACCGGTTTATTGATCAATTTAGGAAGAAAATTTATTTAAAAATAGTAACACAATAAATAATTCATATAAAAATTTGATAAATCTAAATTGATTCTATCTGAATCAGATGCAGAAGGAAAAGCGATACTTTTCAACACATTAAACTAAATCATTTATAAATTCATATCAAAAATGAATTTTTAGTTTTTGTTAAATCCAATATATTCGATTTTGTTGATTATCGGAGTAATAGCCTAACTAATACTTGGAGCAATAACTAAACTAATTCATACGTTTTTTTAACAAACTTTACATAGCAATACAAAGTTAACACTATTAATATAACGATACAATTTAAACTATTAATGCATAATATTATGATCTTCAAAATTTGCAATAAATTAACGTTCTCATCTTTTGAAATTTAACTGGGCTTATTATATTGAACCAATTTAAAAAAGACTTAATAAGTATAATACGAGTATGAATATCAAAAATGTAGATTATCAATCCTATATTTAAACTTCTATTTTAATTTTTTTGTCGACAAGGATATTAGAATAAGAAAAGAAAGCCTTTGAAGACAAAATTTTATACAATTTACAAAGATCAATGCCTCCTAAGTTATTATTAAAGCCTTTGCTGTAAATTAGCAGTAAATATTTACAGTAAACGGCAACACTAATATATATATATATATATATATATATATATATATATGTATAAAAATACGACGAATATATTGTACAATGAACATGGACTTATTAAAAAAGCTTTATTTTTCATTTAAATATTATTTAACATTAAGTAACATTTTAGAAAACAAATTTGAGAAATTGTTAATTTATATTTATTTTTAATTTATTATAAATTTCACTTGAATGCGAAATTCTTGTTTCTTTCTCGTCTTTTATATTGAATAATTCTCTTTTACATATTGAATGAAATTTATTATTATGTAGCAGTAAAATGAAGAGAAGGTGAACCAAAGAAAAACAAAAAAAAATACTTCTATGCCAATTACTAACAACTCACAATATACTGTATATACTCGTATACTGTAATAATAAATTTTTCATATAATAACCGCAATCGACAAAAATCTATATTAATAGTACAAGTCTCTTAATTTTTATTCAATATGTATAAGGTATAGGCACTGACCAAAAATATATTTTACGATTGGATACATTGTTAATTTTACATCCTTTATTTTATTTTTATCCTTTTATTTTATAATAAATAAATTTGTATTTATATATGTATGTATATACAAAAATATTGTGTATATTTCTTCTGATGAAAAAAGAAATCTGATGTGAACAGCGCATAACCGACCGCATTGTTAAAGTGTTGCATAAGCTGATAAATTTTCATTAACAACCTTAACAACCTCAGGAAGTAATTTTTTATGAAAATTTTTTATTGAAATTAATTCCTGAGATGACCATATCTCTAATATGTAAAACCAACCGTTAGTAAAAGCTCTGTTTCCGAACTCTTATATATTCATGAAAAATACACTGGCTCATCATTTTAATAAGAAGATTTTAAAAATGAAATTTCAAGTTCTCTGTATGTGAGCAAAAATGTAAATTCGACCCGTATTAAAAAGACTGTGACTTGTTGTATTGTGATGTGAATACATATAAGATTTGAAGGAAATTCACGGATTATTTTCTTAAAAACAGAGATCGGTTCTGCCGAGCTTGAGATACTGATCTATGCAGACAGACTGACAGGCAGACAAACAAACAGGCACACACTCAAACAGACAGACTAACAGAGAAGCAACATTGAGAAGTGTGTTTCCGTCGAAAAATCGACATGTGAAATTTGGTTTCATAACGTCACCTCCCTTAATAAATGCAATGCGGTCGGTAAAAAATAAAAATGTCAAACTATATAAGTACATAGTTACATTTTTTTCGCATTTAAAGTTAAAATGAAACAAAAGAAAGAGAAAAGTCAAAAAATGAACATGTAAATTAAAAACAACAAAAGAGCCAAATAAAATAAACTACATAAAATATGCAAAAAGCCTAAAAATAAATTGAAAAAGTTCTAAATTTGTACAAATAGATGGCGTAAAAGGAGGTAAATGCAAGTATCAAAATTTTTCAAAAAATTCTTCACTACTCGTTTTCTTAAAGATGTTCATCTCAGCATCCTTTTTTTTTATTTTTTTGTTATTTTTGTGTTTTAGATTAGAGCGTGTCATTATTATCTGGAAGGATTTGTAAATATTTAAAATGTATTCTTAAAATTTGTATTTGT